TCTGCCTCTGAATATAGGATTTGTTACATGAACACACACACACACACCTTATGAAATTTAAGTACAGAGTATATCTGCACGCTGACAAAACAGAGTTACTCTTTGGTGAGTTTGCTGACATTTTGTTCTTCACATTGGCATGAAGAGACTTCTGCGTATCTTTACACATCTTAAAATACCAGAAGGAAATGGTAGTATTTTAAAGAATAAAAAACCGATCAGCCAGATGAGTATGACCTTTTGTTGTGAAACCTAAGTACTACAGTTGAAGGGTAAATAAATGCCACCCTTGTCTTCTGAACTCTGGACTGTCGAGCATAACATTGGCCTACTAAGGAAACAGTCACCTTCTGCATGTTGGCCTAGGAAGCTATTCTGCCTCAACCTAAGAGCAGATAACGGTATCTTAGGGGTAATCAGCAAGGTCTTTTAAAACATAAATCCAAAGAACAGCAAAAAACTGACAAGAGCTTTTCCGGTGCCACAGACATGGCTCATGCCTGTCACAAAAACTCCGCGGAAAATAGAAAAGGAGAAAACATTGAGTGAAGCCGAAAATGTAAAGAAACCTGACTTCTCTGGACTTTGCTTCAGGGAAAGTGTAAATAAAACTACTGCAGAAAACGTATCTGAGGTCATTTCTACAGCAGTGGGTGGATGGCTCTTTTGTAAGCAGAGAAAGAGGAAAGTATCAGGATAATTAGGATCTTGGATTTCCTGTCAAAAATGTAAACTAGCATAGATAAAATGAGAGTGAGGGATGGGGTTGGTAATGGAGGAACAAGATCCTAAAGGCATTCTGAAGGCAACTTTAAGCTGGAGACCACATGAGAGCAGCAGTTAAAGGACTCAGATTTCCCTCCTACTGCTGTTCTGTGTTTTGTTACTGTTGCTGTTTCTTTTCCCATCATGCTCCCTTCTGAAGGATGCTGAGTTGCAGGCCCAGAGCTTAATGAGAATATCCTGCTAAAGTGAGTGGATGGTTGAGGTATGCAGCCCTCTGTAGCAGGATATTTATTCTGCTACATTGTAATTGCAGTGGTGCCCAGTGATTGGGCAATAGGAGAGGAAGTGGAGCTGGGAGAAGGAAAGAGGAAGGGGAGGAGAGAAGAAGAGGAGGATGAGAAGGAGACTAGTGACCATGGAGGAAGATGGATGGGTTGAAAGAAGTTCTGGGTAGCAATTTCAATCAAAAAGTTAGATATTGGGTAACAATTCTAATTGTGTTAACATCTTGTTAATTGAGCATTTCCAAATATATAAATCCATTGGATAATCTTTAAGCATTAAGAGTCTTTATTCTATTGGGTACCAAGTATGGCGGATATTGTCAGGGGCTCAGCCGAGCTTTGCTGGGGCAGCATGGTAGGTTGCCAGAGCCAGCTGCTATGCTGGCGTTTCATGGGTCTAGCTGTGGCATGTATGACTCTTGGCCACTTCTAGTGCAGAACATGGCAGTGGGAGCTAAGCAGAGCTGCCCCACAGCTTAGATAGTGGGGCTTTTCTAAATATTACTCATTTCAGCCCTCTACTTTATTTACTTACTTATCAGTCATATACACTTTTATTTTTTAACCTTATTTTCTCTCAAACCACAAGCTTCACTGCCTTAGTTTTATTATTGTGAAGAGACACTATGGCCAAGTCAGCTTATAAAGGAAGGCATTTATATGGGGGTTTGTTTACAGTTTCAGAGAGTTAGTCCGTGATTGTCATGCTGGAGGAGTATGGTGGCCAGCAGACAGGCAGGCAGGCAGGCAGGCAGACAGCAAGCAAGCAGGGAGCAAGCAAGCAGACAGGCAGACTGGCATGGTATCTGAGCAGTAGCTGAGATCTTACACCCTGATCTACAGGCAGTAGGCAGATAGAAAAACACTGGGCCTGGTGTGGGTTTTTGAAACTTCAAAGTCCTCATCAGTGACACACCTCCTCCAACAAAGTCACATCTCATAATCCCTCAAAACCAGTTCTATCAACTGGGGACCAAGCATTCAAACACATGAGCCTATGGAGACTGTCATGGTTTGTATACGCTCAGCCCAGGGAGTGCCACTGTTAGAAGGTATGGCCTTGTTGAAGTAGGTGTGTCACTGTGCGTATGGGCTGTAAGACCCTCATCCTAGCTACCTGGAAGCCAGTATTCTGCTAACAGCCTTCAGGTGAAGATGTAGAACCCTCAGCTCCTCCTGCTCCATGTCTGCCCAGATGCTGCCATGTTCCCACCTTGGTGATAATGGACTGAACCTCTGAACCTGTGAGCCAGCCCCAATTAAATGTTGTCCTTATAAGAGTTGTCTTGGTCATGGTATCTGTTCACAGCAGTAAAACCCTAAGACAGAAGTCATTCTCATTCAGAACACCACGTTCACAGACTTGGATTACATAATGACAATCACATTGTGCTTCCTGTTAGGGCTTTTCTAAATCTAAAAATTTGGGGATGGGGTGGTAAAATTCAGAACTGGCAAATGACTGGCATTACATCATCACGGAAAATCAAAGTGATTCTCTCTCCTCACCTCTCCTCACAGAAAGACTGGTCTTTCCCAAATACTATCACAACTAGAACACATAAATCCACAGAAGGTAGCAAAGAGGAGAAAGTAGAGAACACATGAGAAGCACCTTAGCAAAAAAATATAGCAAGCTGAGTAATACATGCCATACAGTAGAACTGGAATTTAATATAACCTGATTAACAGTCTCCTGATTAACAGTTTCCAAAGATGGAAACAATGAAATAGAGAAATCACCCACCCACAGTAATAAGACGAAATGCAGTAAGAAATTAATAGAAGTAACAAAAACTTATGGGGCACCAGCATGTGTTATAGGTATAGATTTAGAAGATAGGACTAAAGGACTGTCCTGGAAACAAACAAACATGAAGAGACAGATAATAGCTCAGCAGTCAAAGGAACTGGGCACTGAGCCTGAGTTTGATCACTGGGACCCACTGTAGAGGGAGACAACTAACTCCTGAAAGTTGTTCTTTGACCCTCTCAAGTATGTCATGTCCATACCATACACAAATGGGCCCCCATCCCCTGCCACACACATACACACACTAAGATCATCATTATTATCATCAATTTACAGGACCAGCAAAATGGCCCAGCAGATGCAAGCACTGACAGTCTGAGTTCTATTCCTGGAGCCCAAGTACAGGTAGAAGTGGAGAACAAACTCCTAAAAGTTGTACTTTGGGCTCTAGATAGATGTGTTGGCAAATGCATGCCCTCCCCACATATACACACACAGATGAATGTAAAAATGAACAGGAACAGAAAGATCAAAATCCAGCCAATAGGAAAAAGAAGGGGGGAAATTTGGGAGAAAAACATTTCAAGAAGTGTTGAACAACAGCCTGGTGTGATGGAGAAGGTCTGCTATCCCAACATTCTAGAAGTTGATGCAGGAGGATCATAAGTTACACTGAGATTCAATCTCAAAATAAATAACTAAATAACTATCATAATAAGAAAATAAGCATCATTACACATGTTAAACCAATAGTGACTGCTGTACATTATATATATTAAGAATAACCTTCAAGGTTACAGAATATTTATGCTCTACAATGAAAAATGCTGAAGTATAATTTTGATAAAAATAAAAGGAAAATATACTAAATAACAAGATAAGGCAGAAGGTATGACCCCCCGCAAAGCTGCCTGCTCACGCTTACTGAGCTGCGACATTCATCTTCTGCCTTCTGGAGTTTGAGCATTTGTTTCTCAGGCCTTTGACCCCACATAGAACCACATCCCTGACTTTCCTGGTCTGTGCTTAAATATCTGTGAAATTTGTGAGTAGTGTAATGTGATTTGAAGACTGAGATTCTCATATGTCTATGATTAACTTCCCCTCTTCAGTTAAACCATATGAAGTTGCGAATTTTTTTAGGTCGCAATGGCTATAAATCAGCAGCCGTGTTTAATATAGATCAAGAGAAAGGAGGAAGTGGGGATAATCATGGCATGAGTGGCTACTGGGAAGACTTGTCGAAGACGCTATGGGATAAACCAGGCTAGACTCCATTCTCTCAAGATTCACTGAGAAACATCAATGTGTATAGATTTGAGTTCCTATGACTATTTCAAGATTAAAGACAACACATTTAACAACTTGGACCATCAATCCTGCTTCCTTAGAGGGTCAGCTGCTTCTAGGGCTATGGGATACCTACATCTGTTACTAGGTCAGTGAGTTTTTCATTACAATGTTTAAATGAACAATTAAAGTGTCATCGTTACTGGAACACTTCTCAGAGATCAGGATGTAATCAACATAAGGCAAATTAGGAAAAAGAACCTCAAGACCATTCATGGTTAGCATTGTGCTTTCTGGTTTCTTTCCATTCTCTCCTGTCGTCGACACTCTGAACAATGATTCTTGCAAAACCAAAGTTCTATCCAGTGTATTTACAAAGAACTTATTTTGAACCAAGTTAACTGGGATTTCCTCTTATAACTCAACTTTTTGGAGCTATTGGCAAGCTCTTCCTGCCAACACCCTCATTATCTTTGATACCACAGCTCGCAACGTTAGGCACGCTTCATGGAGTTTCCTTTCACCCAGCAGGTACTGTCAGTATTGACTGATATAATGAAACAGTCATTGAGCATCCTAAAGATGAAGCAGAAAGTGTAAAGGCAAAATTATCTTTTCATTTGTTATACCAACTATATTGTTTTCTTAAATAAATGGAAAGCCAGGAAAAACAGAAAACACGCAAGAAGATGCTGGTTAATAGGTAAAAGAGTGGAACTAAGGGTGGTGGGCTGAGGAGAGGAGAAACACAGGATCCTTACTGAATTAAGGTATTTCCAGCTCATTTTTGAACCTGCACGTATTAAATGAAAATGTCAGCCTGCAGCAATAAAAAAGATGCAATCTTTGTTCAAAGGGATTTGATAACCATGAAGGTCGGAGAATGACACCCATTTTACTTATCTTCAGCGTACTGCGTGAAACGTCAGCTTCCGTAGGATCTTTACCTTGACAGTAAAGCGTTTCTTCTTTGGTAGGCTCCATACCGTGCCAGTTGAATGAATGAAGGCACGCAAGGGTCTTAAGGAGGTCACCAACACATATGCTTTAAGAATCACAGATAGCTCTTCTGCTCTGAAGATTGCTTCGCGTGGAGCAACGACTGTAGTCTGATTCCTACAAAAAAAAAGTATCATAACGCTGCGTTTATTGAGTATGTAATGGGTGAATGATAAATTCCTCCCAATCCCCTTGGAGCCCAGCCTTAGTCAGTGGGTTTCCTGAAACAATTGCAACTGTGGATTTTCCTCTCGCCACCAGGGGGTGCACGGGCACAGACACAATCAATGAGTAGAGTTCTTCATACTGGAAGACTGAATCAAATGATTTTCCCCCAAAGGAAAACAGTACTTACAATAATGTTTAACCATTTCTCAAAATTAATTAGTCACATTCTCCGTGATCTCGGATTCACGGGACTGTTTGAGAAGAAGTGAATTCGTGAATTTGGGTGAGAAAGTCTCCTCCTCCTCTGCTTTCTTAGGTGCTCTCTTATGTTTGTACAGACATTGAGTTATTTAACAGCAGACAGGCCATCAAGAATATGCTTGAATACTTCCCTGACTACTTCACATCTATATAACAAACACCTCTCATTCTTGATCATTAAAGGACAACTTAAAGGCCAAATGTAAAGAAAGCAATAAACAATACTTGTTTCTTGTTTTGGAATGAAGCAAACATACTTCCGTCACAAATCGTACCAAAATATAAAATTATATGTATTTCTGTACTATGTCTATATGTCAAGAATCTAATCCTGATCAATAATAATGTGGCTTGTGCTTATGAAAACTATGGAAGTTAAAACATTATGAAGAAGCTACATATGGTTTCTCAGTAAGCACTATTAAATGCTGAAACTATCTAGCAATTATACAAGTAGACAAAGCAAACTCTTTTATGTCTTGAATGGCATGATTGAAATATCTATTTTCTCCCTGTGATCTATACACATTCTAAAATCCTTTACCTGGAATCTGTAGAATCCAGGAAAGAAGGGAGGGACCATTGCTGAGGAGAGGAAAGAAAGAACTTATGGGAGGAGAAGATGGTAAAACGTGGGGTGGGTGATATGAAAGAGAAAGGGGAAACTCGTGGAGGGAGGTTTAGGTGGGAAGAGGTATGGGAGGGAAGGGCAGAGGAAGAGGCTGGAGAGGGATAACCAACACTAACGATGTTCAAAATAAGCCATATGGAAAACTCACTGCTTTATAAACTTCATATATGTGTACATTTTCCATATAAGAGTTTCATCAGGACTAGACAGGGTTCTCCTCCCTGATACTCCTCCCAGAAATCATAGATTACAAAGTAAAAGCCCAGTGCACCATGGGATGCCTCCCTAAAGTAGTCAGTCAGGAGTGTCTCAGAGATAACACAGGCTATTGTTGTTGTACTTGGTTGACTACCAGGACCTGATGGTAAGATTCTGTTGCTAAAGACATTACTAGCTTTGGTCACAGGACATGGAGGAATCAAGTTAGTACTGACTGGGAAGCTTCCTTCCCTGCTGGCCAGCTTTTGTAGTACTGGAAAGTGGTATATGTCGGTTCCTGGGGCAGGAGAACGTCATCAACTGTCCTACCCAGTAGAGAACCCTGTGAACTACAATAATGACCTGGGTGGTAAACGTGCCCATAGGTGCAATAGTGGTATAAATGTTATCCATAGGCAACAGCCTTTCACTTGGACCTATGTATGGCATGCTCCATAGGAGGAAATGGATATCTACTACTGAGAATCTGCCCAGGAATCTGCTCGGAGCGCTCACAGGCTCAGGGATTAAACCTGCTAATATTCTGTTAAATGGAAGGAGTATCAAACTGCTCTCTAAACTCCTATCCTGTATCCATAGATTAGTGAAGGTCTTGGATCTCATCAGAGAAGTCTCGTTCTACAGTGGACAACTTGTCACAGTGCAGAAGGGTCAGCGGGGTGTTCAGGACATCTTTATTATGCCTACCCACTGGAAGAGGAAGGTGAAGGACTGTAAGAGCTGGAGGTTAGAGTGGACCAGGATGAAACTGTTGCATTCATGACCTCCCAGCAGCTGGTTCTGCATCACTAGAGCCTCGTAAGACCAAGCCATTCAACCATCCACCCTGAGGCAGGGAGGATCTGACAAACCCTACTCCTATCTGGGACTGTGTAAGGGTATTCTGGGTCATGGCTGGACAGTTGCCTAGAACCCAAGACTCTGGGTGAAAACCAGCAGGAGTTCGGTGCGCCCCAAGAACCCAGGGTCCTGAAAAGCAGTCCAGTCTCCATAGAATTACATTGTTCAGTCAAGTAGGCCAGACTGTTGGCCTCAGGCCTTAGGGATTTACATACTAATGAAGGCCAGAGGGCAGAGCAAAGTAAGCATGCCTCCCCAGATCCTCCCCCTTTCTCCCTCCCTATATAACTCGGGACTGCCTTAAGTTTTACGGGCAGTACGCCCTGATCCATCTACCATGTGCCATGACAATAAACCTTTCTGGAACCAAGGACTTCCTCGTGTCATTGGGGCCTGCCGCTGCCAAAGCCTCCAGGCTGCTGGAACCACAGACGTCCTCCTACATGTGGGACCCGCCGCAGTGTGGAAAGCCACTGGGACTCCACAGCTGCGGCCCCCTATATTTTTCCCCACACCCCTATCCGAGCCATTGATAGCTGATGACTTATAGGAAGAGAGTCTGTTTCCTTTAAGAATTTGACCACTGGTAAGTTGATACTGTTGGGGGTGGGTGACTGATGGATCTCAGAGGTGTTAGGAGGAGGAAGTAGAGACTAAGATCAAAATACGTTATACAAAATTCTCAAAGATTAGTACAAATATTATATTTAAAAGATCCTTCCCTGGAAATACCTTGAACAACTTGATACCCTTTCTTAGATTGCAGGAGCCATAAAAATTTAATAGCTAAGAAAAATCCATTCAGCCATATTCAAAGACTAAAGCAATGTCACGCGGATATAAAATAGAAGTTAAAACTTTATAGTTTTACATTGTCAAGGTTCTAAATTCAATTTACATTAATGTAACTTACTAGCTAAGAGTCTAATTTACCCAAATGTTTATTCTGCAGCAGAAATTTGAATTAGCCTAAAAGAAAGTCAATGATGACATTCCTTCTGAAGCCACAGTCACTGAGCATTCTTTTGAATGGGGTCTAGCGATTCACCAAGTCACAACCTCCCACCCTGCCCCATCCCAAGGCTCAAGCACTGAGATCGGAGTTCTAGTTTTTTTCTTGCTGCCTATAATATGTGTTGGATAGAACATCCCACACGATTGTCTTACAACTGTTTCCGTTGCCAGTCCCAAGGTCTCCAAATACGTGGCTTTTCTGCCTTTGAGAGATGACTGGAAACACTCGGCTGTGACTGTGTCCCCTGATCCAGGCACACAGAGGAACTCACTGGAAGTCGCAGTTCTGAAAAGAGCCACAAGCAAAAGACAGTCATTGTTGGTTTCTCCCGGAGTTGCTTCTAAATCAGAGCATGCTGTGTCAAAACTACAGGATCCATCCCTCCATTCTGAAGTCAGATTACATCTGCAGAAGTAAGAATGCATGATCAAAGAGGAGTTTTGGGGGGTTATCTGTTTGTTTGCGACCCCCACTCCCAGCCCCACCCCCACCAG